GATTCTGAGCTATTCTGTTCATTCTGTATTTGCAAGATATTTGTACTTTGGAACCTACTGGTACTAATTAGAGCCTCTTATTTTGCAATCACTCATAATTTGTTTCTTCCTGAGCTAATCTCACTCATGGATGTGTGACCAAGCCACACTCAGCTCTTCGTTAGTGTGTGTGCCGACCTCGATACCAAGCCCAGCCAGCACTTAATTCCAGTTTTGTTCCTGTCCCCTGCCAGAGGTCTAAAATCGCCGTGTTTGAGAAGATGTGGACGTACATGAAGTCAGCAGAGCCGTCGGTGTTTGTGCGAACCACGGAAGAAGGGATGATCCGAGTGAGAAAATCCAAAGGCAAATACGCTTACCTTCTGGAGTCCACCATGAATGAGTATATTGAGCAGCGGAAACCCTGTGACACCATGAAGGTGGGAGGTAACTTGGATTCCAAAGGCTATGGCATTGCGACGCCCAAGGGGTCCGCCCTGAGGTAAGTAGCCAAGATTTGCTTCCTTGGTACTCCTTCTCCCCACCCTCTCTCAGGAAAGAAGTTGCCGTATCTGCCACATGGCTCCAGTACCACAATGCAAGCTGTCAAGAGGGCTCTTCTTGGACACCGGTGGGCCTGGAAGACTCCAGCCACCCAAGATCTTCAGCCCTGAGGTTGGAAATTGACCCGGGGGTCTCAGCTTGCTATGACTGTCGCTGCCTATGTGTTCTTCTCCATACCTTGCCCTGCCCCTCCAAATGTGTTAAACATCAGTGAACCTTGTTTCTGTTGTGTGATCTGTAACATACCATCCTTTACCGGACACCCCCCAAATCCAACTAGGCCTCGAACTGAGTTCTCCAGCAACCTGGATTCTTTGAAAGAAGGTGGTTGGTAATGTTTGTCTCAAAAGAAACATAAACACATTGTCCAAATGAAAAATCAAGTAGTTCGAGTCCCGAGACTCTGGCTGCGGAGATCAAAATATCACCAAACGATATTCTTTTCTAGAAACTGACTTCTTTAGCAAGAAACAAGTCATTCAGTAAAGAGGAAAAGTAGACTTTACTTTCACATAAAGAAGCTCTGGAATTCATTCCAAACAGCAAAGGTAGATTTGAACCCTGTAGATGTGAAGTTGGAATACCTAGATTTAATTTTGGGATTTACTACTGACTCTCATATAGATGATAAGAAAATATCATCTGCCCTGCCTTCAGTTTCCTCATCTGTAAAGACAGGATAATCATCCCAGCCCTTCCTTGCTCCAAGGTGACTGTGAGTTCAAAGGAGGTCATCTATACAGAGGGCAGCTGAAACAGTACAGTGTGAAGTCCCCTGTGAGACATTATGTCAACTACAGAAAGAGTAACTATTTTAGGGAAGGGCAAATTCAAGGAAAGGTGAGGAGTGTTTTAAAAGGCTGCAAAGGATGAAGAGAGATTCCTAACTCATTTTCACAAAACATCCAGGGGCACTTCTGCCTCCACGTCATTCAGTAATGTTAATAATATCGGGTCCTATAATGTTCCAGGCAGCAGAGTAGGAGGTAGTCACAATTTTGAACAAGACAGACATAACTCCTGTCCCCATGGAACAAATTCTTGCAAGGAAGACCGACATTAAGCAAATATTAAAATTGGTTTGTGACAATTATGATAGGTCCTATGATAGTCTGTAAAAATGAACCTGTAGGATATCTACTTCCAGCAATACAGCAGAACAAAACTCCCACTATAAATTACCTACATATGCTGGATCAAGATATAACAAATGCAAGTTTAAAAAAAAATCCCTAGGCAAAAGGGAAAAAGGAACTCAAAACCAGAGTGAAAGGCATAAACTGATTATTCTGGGGATTTCCTAAGCAGGGCAAAGTTATAAATTATGTGACAGTCTATATGAGCAAGAATCAGAAGTACAACTAATGACATAAAAGTAACAAAAACAGTTTTAAAAGAAAAAGATATTATCATAAAAAACCAGACATATTTAGAAAAATACCAATTAGAACTTAATGAAGTAAACAAAATGTAGTCATTAATAAAAAAAATCTCAATGGGAGGGTTAAACAGCTATTATACAAAGTTGAAGAGAAAATTAGTATACTGGCGAGGACGGGGGGGTGGGGGATTGGAGAAAATTCCCTAGACTATCACACAGAAAGAAAAAAAGATAGAAACTATTTAACAAAGAGGTTAAGAGACATGAAGGAGAAAAGAAATATCTCATGTGCATCTTCCATGAGTTGCAGATAGAGAGGATGGAGTCCAGGCAATATTTGAAAGAAATTTTCTAAAATTTGTGGAAAACATAAATATCCAGATTCAAAAATGATGAGTCCCAAGCAGGATAAATAGATGAAAATCAGCAGCTGATTCAATTGAAATTGAAGAACAATAAAGACAGAGACAATCTCAAAAAGACAGAGACCATCTCAAACATACCGAGATAACAAGGTCCACCACTTTTTTGGAGTGCAGAATGGATGGGACATACCTGAGAAGATGTTTCCAAGGATGCTTTTTTCTAAGCTGAGATCCATTAGATTAATCAAAGTTAGCTAGGTGAAGTGGCGGGGTGAGGGTGGGAGTCGGGGAGAGAAGAGCTCTCGGGGCACAGGGAACAGCATGTGCAAAGAGACTCTAAGGTATGAAATCATGGTACAGTGGATGAACTAAGAGAAGTTACGTGTTCTTGGAACACAAGTAATAGGAGAAAAGATACAGCTGAAATTGGAGAATGAGATAGGGAAGGATTTTGTAATGTCTTTTTGTCCTTATCTGAAAATACATTGAACATTTTAAGTAATTGTCTGAAAATTAGGAAATAAAGATGTCTGTAGGAGTGCGGATACAATTGAATGGGACCTAATGAAGGGAAACCAAATGACCTGGTATTTATCAATCATGCGTTTCTACCTGGAAGAACTTAAAAGACTCTGTACAAGTTTCGGCAAAGTTCAAAGGGGATCCAGAGGATAGAACTTGGCAAGAAAGACACTTTTATCTCAGAAAGCTGAGACCATCACCCTAGAAAGGCTGAAAGTAGAGAATGCATTCTTACAAGCCCAGGGACATCAATGATGCTGCAGTCCTACAATTACTGAAGGCTTTGTGAGTCAAGGATATCATTTGATCTAAATACTGGGTTGGAAAGTTAAGAAAGCAAGGCACAGAGAAGTGACATGATTTGTCCAATCAACAGAGTACTTCTGCTACCCCATCCCATGCACAGGTGCCTGGAACAAGGTGACAAACTCATAAAATATTAGATGTTTGAGTGACAGGAACCTAAAACCCAGGTCATGCGGCACTCAAATGACTTTCCACTATAATGAAAGCTGCCATTCAGTAAGTGCCTACTATATGCTACATACTGTAGTATTGTATTACCTCATATAATCTTCATAACATCCCTAAGAAGTATCATTATTCCCTTTTTACAGGTGAGGAAACAGAGGCACAGAATTAAGTTATCTAACCAGGTTCACACAGCTGCCAGTCTGACTCCAGAAGCTCTGGCTATAACTTACCCTAACGCTGTGCTGGATTTTATGATTGACAGCTCCATGAAAGGCAAGAGACTGGACTTATGCCAGGTTCATGGTACCATTGTTTGACATGGGTCAAACAATAACTATGAACTCAAAAATAAAAAAGCAGGCTCTGGAGCCCTGAGCATCCATCCACTCACCACTCTAAAAGCAAAAGTTATAGTAGATGCTCATTTCAACACACCACTTTTTTGAGTACCAATTCTTTGAGCAGTAACACTGCTTTTATGGGTTTTGCATACCCAAACATTCTCTCTGCAATAAATGTTTAAATAATTCAACTCTGTCATAAAGAAAAACTTAATTCTCTTGCTTATATCTCTATAAGATATGACAAGCCACTTAATGATTTTGAAAAAGAGCAAGAGAGAGGGAAGAACATATTCCAGATATAGATCACGGATGGTCGATGTGCAAGTCAAGAAACCGCCAAGGATGCCCACGAGCTCCCAGCTTCTCCCAGTGCTCCTTTCTCTCCAGTGGCAACCTGTATGCTAGCCACGGGGCTTCCTCATTCAAAAAAAGAAGAACAGCACTCATCCTAAGAGGGCCATGGGTTTCTGGCCTGGGAAAGTCCCTCTTCCCTCAATGAGATTCTACTTTTCATCTCTACATTAAAAGGAATCACCCTGGCCATCAATAGTCTAGAGGTTCCATGAAACATACCATTGCAAAATGACTACAGAAAATATGAGTAACACCTTCCCACCCTCACCCCACACACTCCCCAGCCAGGTGTCTATCATTCTGCCTCACATGCCCCAAATAGTGCCATTTCCCCAAGGCATGGTTAAATCCCCAAGAGTCATTACAAACCAAATGCCATAGACCCATGCGTCTACTCTAGCAATCTTGGATCCACTGATTTGATTCCAGGAAGCCATTCTGCATGATAGAAGTGGAATGTGAGGAGAGTGGAGGGCAGTACACATTTCCTCAGGTCTCACAGAGAAAGGGCTGATATATGCTTAAAGATGATCTGGCAGAGGAAACCAATTTTGTCTTCAAATTATTTAGAATTGTAGGAAATATTTTTAAAGACTGCTCAGCCTTTTACAAAGATGCAAACCCCTCGGAAGTGTCTACACTACATAAAACTAATATAAAGTAATATTGAATGTCAACTGTAGACGACAACAAATTTTTAAAAATTCAAAAAGAAGTATCTGTGCTACAGGAAGCTGCTTTACTATGCTATAGGCATTGTTACAAACTTTTGCTCTGCCCTGTAGAAGGTGGGGCTTTTGTTGTCCTCACAGGCAGATGTGCTCTAGACCTTCTTGGCAGTCCTCCTCCACCACCTGCTCTCCATAAAGCCAGACCTCCCCACACCTATGGGGCATTTGCTCCTTCTAACCTGCCCAGAACAAGCTCCAGATTCTCCAAGGCAGAACACCCAGCTCTGCCTTAGAAGGTCAGAGCACTGATATCTAAAGCCCAAATGTTCCTCTAAAACTTGCCAAGTGTACTTGGCAGAAGCCATGTCATGGTCCCTACTGAGCGTTAAAAGGCTGTGTTAGTGACAGAATGGGTTTGTTTTGTTGTTGTTGTTTTTTGAAGAGGTTTTTCTTTTTTTTTTTTTTGGTCCCTTTTTTCTGCTCTGGAAACAAATACTCTGATGAAGCGAGGTGGTTCAGTGCTTGATTTTCCATTTGGACAGGTGGTGTTTCTTTGAAACAGATGCTGTTTGTTGGCTGTCACTGAATGTTTGGGGTTGGGCGAGGGGCTGAGTTATGTTTCCAAGGCCTTAGGTTGTGGATAAAGACCGACGCAGCCAATGATGGTCACTAGGGAAAGGTAACTGGTAAATCTGCTAATTATGATCTATTGGCCCTTTTGTTGCCAGCTAAATGTATCTTCTGGTCTGAACTGAAGTGTCTTTTCTTTGTTATGATGAATACTCCCTTCAGTTAGAGACAGTGTTTTAAAATTTCCTAAGTAAGCG